GGGTAGGACTGAGGCTCCGCACCAGCTCCTTCCAAAGTCTGGTGCGCACATGACCTGTTCCAGCCTGCTGCTGTCCCGCCCTCTCTGTCACAAGTTTCCAGCCAGAAGCAAGTGGCCACAGCTGATAACCTCCCAGAACCTTGGTTTCCTCATCTGTGAGAAGAAGATAACCACATCTCCTGAAATCAGGGGCTGTGTGGAGAGACAGGCCAGGAGCTCTGAACCACAGGCAGGCAGCACAGACTCCCTAGGGCAGCATCGGAGCTCTGCCTGCATGCTCAGCCAGCATGGGGTGCGGCCCCAGAGGCTGTGGGTCAGGCGCCTTAACTGCCAAGGGGATGCTGAGTCCTGGGTCACTCCGAGCGAGCGGACCAATGGGGAGGAAGCCAAAGCCCTGGGCGGAGAGCAAAGACAGGCAGGGAGAAGAGGCCGTGAGCATAAAGCCAGTGGGGAACATAACCCCCACTGCAAGCAGGTACAGAGGGACCAAAGGGCTAGAGTGGGGCTCCACCTCTCCCCACTTTTCTCCAGCTTTGGCAAGGGGCGGAGGAAGAGGCAGCAAGCTGTAGGCGACCCACAGACTTGCCTTCTTGCAGAGAAAATATTCCCTGAAAGACATTAAATGAAGTAAATAGGAGAGATAAAAATGGAAATATCAAGGCAGCAACTTCTCTTCTGATTATAAAGCGAGCGGTGGGGGCGGGGCGGGGCGGGCCTGCGGGAGACGCAGCTGCAGCAGCCGGCCAGGCTGATAAGGGCTCTGGCAGCCTGCATGGGCAAGATAAAGCTAGGCGCCGCTGCCCTCAATCCCGGCCATCATCAATATTCACATGGCCTGACCAACTGGCATCGCAGATAGAATAAATATAGACCGCCAGCTATTACCAAGACCTTATTAATCCGCTTGCAGGCGTTTAAAGGCCGTGGAAAATACGGGGGTTTTGAGCGCAACCATCAATAGCTTGACTCATCATCAAATGCTTTCCTTCTAGTCCCTCTCCTCTGCATTGTCTCTGGGTCTCAACTTTCTCTTAAGAGATGGAGGATTCTGGATGCAGGTGGAGGGACCAGGTGGGGAGGATTCAAACACCTGGTGGAGGGGGTGCCAGGGTGTCACAGCTGTCCCTGGAGTCCTCCTGAGCTCCGAATGTATCCTCAGGGCAGACCTCACCACCTCGAGAAGTATGTGCTGGCATCCCACTTAACTCTTCCCTTAAGCTGGATGCTGGACTTATCCCAGGGAAGGAGAACAGGGACAAGGCCTGAACAGCAGGGTCACCTGCTGAAATTGGGCCGCTCTCCTGCTCAGACCCCTAGGCTTTTGGCTGCTGTGGCGTGCAGTAGGCCTCCTGCCTTGGTCTTCCAAGGTTTGTTTGACTTTGGTGCCAGTCTTTCTTTGTGAGGGGCCTTTACGAGAGCCAGGCATCCAGGCAGCGGGCCCCTCATCACCGCATCTCAGTCTAGACATCTCCTCCCCACAGAGGCCTTCATCAGTCTGTCGTGCCAAGGCCCTCTCCCCACACACTAGGAAGTGCCATCTCGTCTGTGTGTCTGCTCATCAGAACAGAGGCTGGCCCGTGGGAGTTCCCGGGCACATTGGCAAGGGAAGGAGAAAGACTCACCAGGTTTAGATGCTGGGAGGGGCTGGGGCTGCAGGATGGATGGGCACGGGAGCCTAGGGTCAGTCAGGTGTCACTCGGAAGGGGCAGTGGCTGGCACAATGGCTGAAAGGAAGGACGGTGGTCAGCATGCCCTCTGTCTCTGGGCACAGCATACCAACACACCATCCTGGTCTCAACTCATGCTTGGGTATCTTGGTTGTGCTTCATCTACCTGGAGGCAGGATCTTGTGGCAAATGGCCCTTTGGGAGGTGACAGGAATGTGAAGGGCCAAGGGAGTAGCTTCAATGGCATCCACTGGAGCTCATTCCAGATGAGATGCTGGGTGCCAGGAGATACGAAGCCATACAGCCATTGTGGACGAAGAATGCCAAAGTCCCTTTCCCTGTTCAAGAGATCACTATCCCCAACTCAGGATTTGTTTTGTCTTTATTTCATGTATGTGGCTGTTTTGCCTCCAAGGATCCCGGTGTGCCATGTGTGTGCAGGATGCATGGAGGTCAGAAGAGGGCATAGGACCCCGCCCCCGGGACTGAAGTTACAGATGGTTGTGAGCTGCCAGATAAGTGCTGGGAATTGAGCCAGGGTCCTCTGGAAAAGCAGCCAGAGCTCTTAACCGTTGCCTGAACCATCTCTTCAGTGGCCCCATCGCTCTGGTTTGCTGCAAACTCATGAGAGGGCTTTAGGAGACAAAGAGATGCCAGGATGTCCAGAGACAAGGTCCTGCACAGAGCATGGCAGAGCTGTGGCATCATGGCACCCACAGGCCAAGTTCAGTCCCCAGCAGAGCATGTAGCTGGCATGGTGCTTAGCTCCAAGAGCCCAGATATGGCTTCCTGAAAAAGCCCTGCCTTCATCACTCCCTCAGAAGCCACGCCTCTCTCAGTCTCCTGCTGCTGCTGTCTCACTTCTGCATCAAACATTCTCTGGCAAACATGTAAGAATTTCCAGGCTTAGCAGACAGGCCCACCACGGGCGGCCCACCCAGGGAAGAGAAACCTTTGCCACCTTCCTGGCCCCAGCCACCTCCCTCTCATCCAGGAAGGGTCATAGCCTGAGTCACAAAAGGCTTCAGGGAGAGGCGTGGGAGATGGGCTTCAAACTCCATTAGTCCGCACTGCATGTGCATGAGCACAGCCGAATGCCTGCTTCCCACCACCCCACCATAGCTGGGGAAACCGAGGCACGGAGGGCTACTTCGCCTGAACCTAGTTGGACTTTGGAAAAGACAAAGTTGGGTCACATGCTGGTTCTACCCTCCCTGCTTGAATGGCTTCAGACAGACCCTCCTGTCTTGTCACCTGTAAATGATCTCAGGGACTCCCAACAGGGCTGCTGGGGGTGCAAATGGGACACAGCCTAGCTCTGTTCCCTTGCTCTACACTTTGCTATCCTTGCTGCCTATGAATGCCAGAGAGCAAACCAGCACACAGGAAACACACTGTCGATAGTGAGAAATGGCTTAGAAGGGGCAGGAACATGCTGCAACCCTCATCTTTGAGGTGTGGTTTTGACTGAGAAGGTCCTTGCAGGTTTTGGAGGAATCTGATCCTGCCTCTGAATGCAGCCACATTCTAGTGGCTTTCCCTCAGCCTTAACTCCCCTCCCAGTCCACTACTCCTAACTCCCCCAGGATGGGTCTGTTTTAGGACTGGCTCCTTACAGACCAAATTCCAGAGCAACAAGGGCCAGAAGGCCCAAGTAAATATCAGCCTCATTGTCATGCATTAGAATGACGAACAGATGGTTGGGAATGGTCTCTCTTGAGAGTGGGCTACGGAGGTGGCAGTGGCTCAGTGACCTGCCCACATGTCAAAGTCTCCCATGTGGTGGTCAGTTTTAATTGTCAACTTGACCCAATCTGGATCACCTGGGAGTCTCAACGAGGTATTGTCAAAGTTAGCATTGCTTTCGGGGAGGGTTTTGATTACAATCTACTCCAGGGCAGGGCTCCTGTGCTCTGTAAGCGTGGGGAAAGCACGCTGGGCACTAGCTTGCATACATCAATCCACTGCTCTCTGCTCCTGGCTGCAAGTGTGGCGTGACCAGTCTTCTCAAGCTCTTGCTTCTGTGTCTTCCCTGCTTTGATGGACCTGGAATTATGAGCTAAAATAAGTCCTTTCTTTCCCAAAATGTCTTCTAATAGGATAATTTAGCACAGCGAACAGGAAACAAAACCAAGCCAGAGACTGTGCCCTGGCTGGGCTGCTGCCTCTGGAGGATGGACTGTCCTCAGAGGGTGTGGCTCCCATGCCAGGTGACCTCAGGGAGCAGCAAACAGCAGGAACAGCATGTCAGGCCCCAGAGCTGGCCACCAGCACCACCAGCTAGGCTCTGCAAATAAGACACAGCGAATGGGGTTTGGTGGCAGACTGGAGTCCTCATCTCTCATTCTGGCTGTGGGACCTGCAGACCATCATGTGAATGAAAGGGGACAACGTGTGTGGACAGAGGGGGTGTCCAGGCACTGTTTCTGGACACAGGGGTAAAACCTGATGTGCCAGGTTTATTTGTGCCTGGGATGAATGAAAATACCAGGGGTCTGAAAGGTGTGTGCAGGGCTCCCATATAGGTTTAAGAAGCCTGAGAGGGGACCTGGGGCTGTTGTTCCATCCATGACACTGACCTCTCATCGGCTGGGGCACATGGCATTCACCCTGCAGCCTTCACAGCGGCAACCCACAGAAGGCCCAGGGCCAGGATGTGTAGGAGGGGAATGGGAGTCACCAGACAGACTCAAAGAGGGAAGGTGACAGGGAGAGACAGAGAGGAAGGAAAAGACAAGGAGGGAGGAAAAGGGAGGAAGACCTTTGGCGTCATTCCCAGCAGTTGTGTTTCTAGGGAGTGCATTTTCCCTTTATTTCCCACTATCTGTTTCCCAGGATCTCTGTTTGGTCGCTGGAAGGGAGGATGGCACGCATATTCATCAGAATCCAGAGAAGTGGGCCATATTTAAATACATAGGGTATGTCTGATCAGAGCGGTGTGGCACACAGCTGCTCTGTCTGAGGATGTGTGCCTAGCGGTATACGGCTATATGTATGATTGGGGTATATGGGTGTATAACTAGGGTGCACCAACTTATATAATTGAGAATATTCAATTTGCATTATTGGGGACATATGAATTTGCAAACGGATACATGCATTGTTTACTTAGTCAGCTCCTCCTCACTGGGACAAATATGTGAAAAAAAAAGCCATTTTAAAAGAATTGTTTTGGGGCTGATGGCTCAGCAGTCAAAGGCGCTTTATGCTAAGGGCGGTGACTTGAGTTCAATCCTGGTGTCTACACAGTGGAAGGGGAGCCCTGACTTCCTCACGTCATCCTCTGACCTGTGCATGCTCGAAACAGCACACACGCACAATAAATGAACAAAACACGGATTTTAAAAGATTTATTTTGGCTCATGGTTTCTGAGGCTCCAGTCCATGGCCAGCTGGCAGCGGTCCTGTGGGCCTCATGCGACCGTGTGGCAGAGCAAAGCTGCTCACTTCATGGCGGTGTGCCAGAGGCAGAGGGATATAGAGGGGAAGCGGCAGGAAAATGCCATGCCTCCAGCTCCCTACTTTCTCCACGGAGGCCCCTTTCCACTGCTTCCTGGTGCCATCAACCTTGGTGATCCAGTCCCCTCCCAGAGGTTCCAACTCTGGGTGCTGCCAGATCAGAAGGCAAGCCTACGACACAGGGGCCGTCTGGAGGACACTTCATGTCCAAACCATAACAGTGCTCATGTGCTTGTGGCCGGCACTGTGCTTGCTCAGTCTGCTCTGTGGACGGGGCTGGGGCTGCTTCCAAGCATGAGAGAGGCATCTACGAAGTGAGGGCTGACCCCAGAGCGCAGGTGGAAGGTACCTCATAGTTGTGCCTGTGACCTCATGAAGGTGCTAACCTGACTCCGAGAAGCAAAAAAAACGCAGAGGGGCAATAGTGGCCCAGCAGGCAGGAACTGTAGGTGAACACCTCCCTCCCGCTCCCCGGAACTTTCCTACGTGGCCTAAGCCCGAAATCCATGGGGAAGGAGACTGGGAAATGTAGCTCAGGCCAGCTGAGTAGGTGATGGGTAAAACCACCCTTAACCCCTTTTGCCAGAAGTCTGCTCCTCTTGAGTCAGAACAAGGGCCAGGTGGAGGTGGAGGTCAGGTGACATCTTGGAGGGGTGATGTGGTCAGATGTGGTTGTAGGGCAGCAGGCTTGAGTTGGAGCAAGGTGGGGGGATTAGTGGGTGGACCGGCTACAGGTGTGGCTGGGTTGGCGGAGCTCCCCCAGGCTCCAGTCTCTCCCAAGTGCAGAATTCCACAACCTTTGAGGGTTCCTTGGGACCCATCTTGTGGCCCGTATGGCCAGGCCTTTTGCCCAGAAAGGAGAGGAGACTCAGGTCAAGACACCTAAAGGGAGAGAGAAATGGAAAAATAGTTTAACTAAGCTGTAAACAAGTGTGGTAGGGAGGTTTTCACGGTCCGTGGCTGTTTCCGAGTGAGAGTTCCTTTCTGGAGCTTGGGCAGGGCCAGCGCTGGGCCCTGGCACGCCTGGGATACACCCTCCAGGTGCCTCTGCTGCCTTTTCCTGCCCACAAGGGGATCCTCAGTCTACACAGAGTGAGACCTGCTCTCCCGAGAAGAGAATTACTCAGAGGCATACACGCTGTCGTGAGGTCTGCCTGGGGTGACTGAGGTCTGCCTGGAGTGATCGGGCTCGGGCCTGCATTGCTAAGTGAACTTTGGCCCCACGGGCGCTGGGCAGGAGGTGGGGAATCTGAGGCCCCATCTCTAGGACTGGCCATAGGGGGCATGTTTACTCCACACTGCCTAGCCTCCTGGCTCCTCTTTCTCAGCCTGTGTCAACTTCATGTCAAAACTCTTGGTGACCCTGCTTTGCCTTCTGCCCTCTGACCTCACCAAAGATGCCATTCCTGCCAGGGCCATCCTGCAAAAAATAATAGCACAATTTGGGGGCATCTTTCTAAAGCAGGTAAGCTCACCCAGAGCAAAACTGGAAGGCTGGGCCGTGGCTCAGTGTTTCTCTAGTATACACGGACCCGGGATTCAATCCCAGCAGTGCAGGCCCATTGACAAAAATCCCAAGACAAAAAGAGCAAATATGGACGGTGTCTGGGATCTCCCTATTCCCCATCTGACCAACATGAATTTCCCAGGTGAGAACAACTCACATGCAGACCAGTTTAGGGAGCCAAACACCCCCGTGTAGCAATTCCCCAAAGTATTTCAGACTCGGGTACACTTTCTTGGGAGGAGTCAAAACGGACCTGCAAACTCACGGGGTAAGGTGTGTGTCACTCATCCAAGATGGTGTGTGCCAACCAGGAATGGAGTAGGGGACAGGAAATACGGGGAGCAACATCTCTGGGCAGGGTCTGAGCAACCTGCTCAAGCGTGGTTTCAGGTGAGCCTCAGCAGGCGAAGCCAGGCTCTGAGAGCCGGGAGGCCAGTGTGGCTGGCTCCTCACCTTCCCTTCATTCTCATTCCCACAGGGGACTGGGGAAGAGCGGTTCTGATGGTCTTCAGGTGGGGCTGGGACCCAGGGCCGACTCCCGTTCTTAACTGGAACAAAGACAATCTGCGTGAGCTCTGGAGCTGACTGCTCTTCACCTGGTCCCAAAGACGACCTTAGGTACTGGGTAGCGACAGTCAGAAAAACACAGTGAGCAAAAGCGGGCCCAGTTGACTGTTGTGCACAGCCTGGGAAAATGCTGGCTGTGCTGCAGGTACATGCCTCACCCCCACCCCCATCACTTTCCCCAGAAACCCTGTATGGAGTTCCATACATCCAAATACACATGAACCAAACACATGAACCCAAAGCCTTCACTTGCCTGTCAGCTCCCTCATTCCTCGGGGAGATGCTGCCTGCTTCTGTCCCCACAGGGCACAGTTTTGTTGAAGGACTTATGGAACTGGAGTACAGCCCCGGAATGATACTGTTTACCCTTCCACTTCTGACTCAGTCACAGAGTGAACTCACTTCACCCCATGCTGAGGTCCATGTCTGGCAGGAATGACAAGCAGAGTGCAGGTCCATGGATAGGCAGGAGTGACGAGCAGAATAAAGATGACATGGGTTGCATTTACTCCACTAGCTAATAGCTTTCTAGAACGGAGGGACACAGTTTAGCCTCTGTGGCCTGCGAGCAACTGTGCCTGTCACCCTTAGTCCTCACGAGTCCTGGGAAGATGGTGGTGGTGTTGTCATTGCTGTGTGGACAGATGGATGTGTGGCAGTGTCTCACTGAGGGTTGGGCACCTCTGCTGGCCTCTGGGGTGTCTTCTGTTATGACCAGAGGTTCTCTCTATCTTTGAGGTGGCTGACAGTTGGACGTGAGGGAGTTGGCGTCTGAGGTGTGGTTGTGGCACATTTCTTTACTTGCTCTGGAGGTAAAAGAATAGCCCTTCCTGTTAGTTCCTGGCTCTGCTCACTTTCTGCACCTGACTCCCCTAACCAGACATGTTCACCCTACCCACACCTTGGATAAAGGGTTCCAGGGGTACCCCACCCCTTTCCACGGCAGCACATCAGCGCTTCTTTGGCCCAGTGCTTGGCACTCCCAATAAGCAGTTTATTGAAATATCTATCAGCGTCTCGTGGAAAACGTGAGTATAGTTCTGTGAACCGCCATGGGGGAAAACAGAACCTGTCTAAGCACCACCCATGTGAACAGAGAACCTCGCAGCCCACCCTGACCCACTGCATACACACAGCCCTGTGTATACCTGTGCCCGTGCTTCCCACCACTGCATGCATGCATACACACATCATGCACATTTCTCCTCCAACACACGTGTATACACACTCTCCTCCATGTCCCCTTAATACGACTCACACCCCACGTACCTCCGCACTATTCCCGCCCTGCCTCCGCTCTCTCCCTCTCCTTTCTCTCTCCCTCCCTCTCTCTCTACCTCTATCTCCTGACTCCTTCCGGAATTCCTGCCCCAGTGTTGGGCGGCACATCGTAAAGCTTCCCCCTGGGCTCTCTCATCTCTGTGAAGTTTCCCTTTGTCCTTTGTGAAGGGGGGTGGGTCTCAGTGCTCAGGAGCTGAGGTCTGTCAATGCGTGGAGGAGGGGAGAGGATGGAAAGCAGCAGTTGGCATCCTTGGACCTGCCCACGGAGTACCCCCCCCCAGCAGCCCCAGCTTCATATACTCCTCAAACTCAGACCGCATTCCATCTATCCCTGGGATTCTGTGGCCCCAGCCCTCCCCACTCCACTGCTCCAGGCCGACTCTGCCACGCACTGCATTCCCGTGTTCAGCAACAGCTGGCTGAGCTTAATTAAGCCCCACAGTGCTGGTTCCACCTGGTGAGGAATTAACAACAACAACAAAACAGCAAACATCAGAGGAGGGGGTAGGCTGGGGCCTCCTGCTTCTTCAGAGGTGGGAACAGGGCTGGGAATCCCAGCCTCTGCCTTTTCCTCCGTGACAGCCCTTAGATGCCTGCTGTCACCACTGAGTCCAGGGAAGGCATCACCAATCTTGGGAAGGTGGGTTTTAGCCTGTATCCTTCTCTGGGCAGGGCAGGCAGCCGGTTTCCCCTTCCGAGATGAGAGGACTCAGGCTACAGAAGGCCCCAACTTAGCTTGTCTGCTGAGGATTGCCACATGTGTGGCCATGCAGCCACCCAGCTAGAGGGCGTGTTTGTTGTCAGAAGGGTCCAGGCAGGTGACACATGAGCAGAGACTAAGGACCCCACACACAGTGACTCTGCAGAGGGGAATCATGGGTTGGCCCTGAGAGAAGCTGATTGGCCCCCTTCGATGTTCCAGCGTCCTGTCTGGGCTGTAGCAAAAGTGGTGCTGGCTGCGCAACCCCTGAGCAGAGCATGCTCCGTGCTCAGAGGGTCGAGTTGCTCTTAAGTCTGTGCTCCGAAGCAGTGGCCCCAAGAAGGTCCTGAGCCTCCATGCTCCAGGGCTGGGGCTTAGGAAGGCTGCCCATAGTCATCTCTGAGCCAGGCTGAGGGGCTGAGCAAGGGTGGGGCTTCCTCAGGTGCAGACTCCAGAGCTGGCTAGAGAAGTAGCCACAGCTGGGGGCACTCCATTTGAATGCTCTTCAGAATGCCAAACTCCAACAGGCCAGGAGATGTCAAGGCTCTCTGTCCACAAAGACTGGTTCCTCTGGAAGCTTTATCTATAATGTGTATACCTGTGCTTCAAATGCAAGCTTGAGAAATTTCAGAAAACAAAACAGCAGTTGGAGAAACAGCAGATTGTCTACATCATGGATTCCTGTACTCTGCTGAGTCCAGGGGCCTGTTCTGAACTCCCCAGCACCTAAAGCGACAAGGGAAAGGAGAGAGACTTGTTAGTTGTATGTTTGGATTTTGGGTTTTGTTTGTTTTGTCTTTTGGTAGGAGACATGGGAGCTTTGATGGTGGGGGGAAGCTTTTTTAACTGTGAAACCTCAAATGGGATCTTGCTCTCCGACTATGTCAAAATTACCAAACCTCCATGAACGTCAAGTGCATTGAAATAGCATTGTTAAAATATTCCACACTTTCCTTTTGCTTGCATTTGGGGGGAGTCCTGTGTATTCTGTCACTCTGGGGTGAAGGGCCCTCGTATTATCAATTAGGTCATGATGGTTGAAATACTGTCTTTAGCTCCTTTCCTCTCCCCGTTCTCTCGAGCCTCCTGATTTTCTGTCTGTATTTGACAGGGATGTCGGAACCTCCAACTGTGACTGGGAGTTTGTCTGTTTCCCTTTAGACCTGCCTGGATTTGTGTCATATGTTTTGAAACTCTTCCTAAGAACAGACTCACGACTATGGTTCTCCCTTGTGAGTTCATAAGTGATGTGTTCCTCTTCAGCCTAGCAGTACTTCTTGTCTGCAATCTCTCTATCTATCTATCTATCTATCTATCTATCTATCTATCTATCTATCT